CTCTGAGCAACGTCTTCACACCAGGTCACACAACAAAAAAGACAACACAATGACAGAGTCCATGATAGGCAACTACAAATAGAACCTAGCCTGAAGTTCATTTTCTCCTTTTTCCCAAAAATCTGCCATGATCTCAACAAGAGAAAGCAAGATTACCTTGAACCAAGCCCTAGACTACCTTAGTCCTTTATACTTTCTCTGTCTGCTACAATTAATAATTTAAAATAAATAGTATTTATGTCAAGGAGAAAATAGGGTTTTAGGGTATTGTCAAGCATGAATATGTTTCTAATTTTTTTCTGGAAAAACACATGGGTGACATATGCTTTTTACCTTATCCAAAGTCAGTTGATAATACAGTAATTCTGCCATAATGCTATAGTTGGAATCTTCATACTATCATTTTTAAAATGGAGGATTGCATTATAGACACAGTAATGATACAGCAGGGAGGTGAGGGCAGGGTCTGTTGCAAAATCTAAATCACTCTGATCCAAGCTTTGGTTTGACATCATGGTTGCTATCAGCTTAAACATGTGTTGATGAGGAATTTGGGGCTCTGTGACCAGCGAAGACTTTCAGAATTTCAGCACTCACCCAGTTAGTTGGCACTCAGTTTTCCTTCCTGCTTCTCAAGACTTCCCCTCCCCCATAGAAAAGAACCTTAGTTTGCACTGGTTGAAAGTGAAGGGGAGACTGGGTAAAGAGTTAAAGCCAATCACCAACTCTGTTATATTTAGATCATCATTATTACAGTGGGAGGAATATTTTGATCTTTCTATTTAACTCCTTTATAATAGTCATCACAGTTTTCACTTGTTCCTTTTTATGGGTCTATATCAGGGAAAAAAATAAACAACTTGACATGTAAGCAAAACCACATCTCTCCTGTGTTCCTTTTACTTTTAATTTTTGTATTTCCCCTGGGAACAGATGATTTAAAAAAAAGAAAAAACCAGATCAATTGATAAAATGAAGCAGAGCTTAAACTGGGTATAATTTACTATATGTGGGACCTTCCGGACAGGCTGTCATAGCTTCACAAACCACCTATATTTTCAGTTGTGCCAATCCAAAGGGACCAGAGTCATCTATTTTTAAAAGATAACTAAAGAATCAGATTTTGCTCCTAAGCAACCCTACACTCCACAGTGTCCACTAGATGTTTGACCTAATTCTGCTGCCCCCCGCTCCACTTTTCTTTAGACAGTAGTGAAGAGACGTTCTTTCTTGTACTCATTTTAGCTCATAAAATCTATGTCTAGTTACAGCAAATTCTGGCCAAGCTGGAACATCAGTCAATAAAACCATCATCAATAGTCATTGTTTGCAGATGCTCTAGGTCTGGAAATCACTGCTGGCGTGCCTGCATATTTAAAAAAAAATACTAAGAAGTTTAGTAATTTCCAGAAAGCATATGCATTTAAGGGGAAAGAAACTTCTGAGAAAACTTTAAGGCCCAAGATCTTGAAATAAGTGGATCAGCTTGGTGATCACCTGACTCAGTTCAGCTAAACCTATTGACCTTCTCAGGATTAGAATAGAATGAATAGGGACATAGTGTGTGATAATCTCTGAAGCATGGTTTTGTGGTCACTATTTAAGCTATTTGCCCTAGAACATTGAACTCACCACCTATCTTTTCAGCTATATTACTTTGGCTCTTGAAAGCTTTATCAAACTGTGTCTCTTATTTAATGGAACATTTCTGCAACAGATTGCACCTGAGGACATTATGGTGAGAACCAACGCACAATCATTTGGGAGTAAGAGCATGGCACAGACATGGTGGTAGGGGTGGGACTGTCAGAACAAAGGATGAAATCAATGAGAAGGGTGGTAAAAAGTCACAAAATTTTAATTTCTTCCCAATTTAGCCTAGAACTACTTGAAAATCTGTCATTCTCTTTGAGTGTTCTAATATTTTCAACTTTCATGCAAAATTTTCTGCCCCAGCACCTACATTCATGTTGCAATATGGGGTCTATCATGCATAGATCAGAACTAGAGAAATAAGTTGCCTATGTGTCTGTTAGTCTTTATATAAAATCAAATTGCTTATTTCAAATATTCCTAGTTTGCTTTAGATAGCTTAATATCCCATTGCTTCTTTTTAGTTATTTCCTGCTGCTGAATTAGGTGAATTGCCTTATATGATTTCTTACCCATGGTAAATGGTAAATAAACATCCTTCCTGGGATCAGAATATATTTTTAATTTTTTAATAAAATAGACATACAAGTCCAAAAAGTATAAATTTATACTTAATAAATGGACCGTAAACATCTGTGTAACCTCCGACAGGATCAAGAAATAGTATATTGCTAAATCCCCAGAAACCCATTCTGATCACAAACTGCCCACTCCTCTCAGAGGTAACTGCTAGACCCCCTTTCATGATAATAATTTCCTTGCTTTTTTTTCCCTTTTTTTAGTTTACCGCTGTATATGTCCCTAAGCAACATAATTTAGTTTCGTCTCTTCTTGTGACCCATAAATGGAATCATATTGTGTACTTTGCTTTATCTTCCATGTGGTTACATATATTCGCAGTTTCTTCATCGTCATTGCTGTATGGTATTCCAGTGTATACAGCACGACTTTAACTCATTCTCCTACTCATCAATATTTAAGTATATTCTAGGTTCTGGCTACTAGGAAAAATGCTGCTACATGTTCTGTCCATGCCTTCCGGCGCACAGGTTCATGAGCACCTCTAGTGTAGATATCCACAGCTAGAAATGCTTGGGCATGCAGTATGTAAATCTTCAACTTTGCTCAATACAACAGTGGAGATGTTTTTTTCCAAAGTGGGTATTACAATTTTTACTCCCACTACACGTATGCAATAGTATCTGTTGTTCCACATCCTCACCAACACTTGGTATTGTCAGACTTCTTAATTTTTTGCCAATCTGGCATTTTGTGTGTATTAGTATCTCCTTGTGATTTTTAAATTTCTTTCTCACTGTGGTTTTAATTTGTAAAACCATGATTACTAATGAGATTGAGAACCCCTACATGTGTTTATTCCCCCAAGTCCAGGATCTTTAAAATGTACATATAAATTCTGGTCCTCTGGATTTTGATAATTTGATATTATTCATACTGAACACTTCATGCCATACTGGAACATACAGAGAAAGCAAAAGAAATTCATTCATTGAATAGCAATTTGAAGCTGGGAACCTCATATACTTTGACCTATTTTATCCTCAAAATAATTTTGCTAGGCTAGTGTTGTTATTCTTATTTTGCAAATAAGGAAATTGAGGCTCTGAGGTTAAGGAAGTTACCCAAAAGCAAATATACTGCTTAAGTTCGTTAAGTGTTAGAACTGACTCTCAAACCAGGCCTGTATGCTTCCAAAGCCCAAATTCTTTCCAGTAACTTCCTAAGAAATAACCTTTGCAAGAGCAAAATAATATTCAATATTCTTTTGTAAAATCACTGCATTAAAAACTACATCAAAATAATTTCAAAGATAGTCCAGTTAATAGAACTAATTAAATAACTGCATCTATAGGTCAGTTTTTCCTTTCACACTCCAAAATCAAATTCATTAATATTTAAACAAATGAAAGAGTCTTTGATATTTGACGGGATTTCCCATATGAGAATACTTCGTGAGACATTTTAGTCACATGTTTCATTTTCAGCCTGTGACAGGCACTTGTGAATTGATTAACACCATACAGTAGGTTATAGAACACTAAATGACAGCCAGAAATAAAAGTAACAAAAGACGAGAGTGAGACAAACTCTCCTCAAAGAGATACATTTTTATATAGGTAATCAATTTATTAGGACACTCAACAAATTCAAGCAATAGGCACTTTAAAAAATTAATTTAAAACCAATTAAAGGATAAACATCAAAGATCCTAAGAATGTATGTGTTATTAATGGTGCTTTTTTCAACTATAAAATTCTAATAAAAGTCTGTAAATCCTGCAGATACAGAAACAATTTTTGAAGAATCAAATTAACCAGAAGCAATGACACAGATATGAGATTGCCTACAAAAGGGGGTAGACCAAGCTTAGCATCCTTCCAGAATGCTAAGAATAACTCTCAGGACAGGAGTAGCATTCCGTGCATGACTCTACCCTCTACTATCTTTACAAAATGACCTTTCAATGGGATCTGATCCAAGACTCTCTCTGGTGATGTAGACACACTGGTAGCTTGTATCTTTGTTACCAACAATTTCAAACAGGCTTGGACTTTGTGTCTATGAATATTAAATTCGCATTCATCCAACTCCATAGAAATGAATAGTGAAAACAATTTTATTAAGCACTTCTATACATGTCACATATTTTATGAGGTTCAATTTTTATTTTACTTTATGAGACAAATGCTTGCTTGCAAAAGTGCTAGCATAGTGTGCACTTTCTAGTTGTCAATATACCTCCATCCTCTCCTGTACTACCAATTGGCTACAAAGATTTAAAAGTTCAGTGATTATAGGATTTACATGATTTTAACCCCTTTAAATTTGAAAACTCTTTAAATCCCATTATCTCTGCAGCCACTGCAAATTTTAAAATCAGCTTGGCCTTTTCTAGGTCCAGGTCTAAGGATTTCAGAGTTTTAAGGAGTATAAATGCATTTTTGAAGTTCTATAAAGAGCTCTCCCCAACCGGTTGACCTACAGGAAATCAAGCTAGCCAGTTCTCCAGCTGGTAACTGCTGATCAGAGTTTCTAAATGGAGAGATATGTACGTTATGCCACAAACCACCAGGAAAACAAGTAATTGCTTCCTTGCCTCCATATGAAACCAGTGAATCAGAAGATTTAATGTAGGAGGGGTGGCAGATTTAGACATGTGTCAGTAAATGTCTAAGAATAATAAAACAGAAGATGTTGTAAGGGACCCAAGCAAGCTCTCCGGGGCAGAGAGAGTAAGTTCAGTGAGTTGGAAGCCCTCTGGTTCCTAAAGAAAAGCCGTTACCATGGATACTCTCCAACTGCTAGGTAACCCTCTGAGATCTTACCTCTTGTGTCTTCACATTTATGTATCCATAGTGAGTTCGAAGGGGCCGCCTGTATGTGTAGGAGAATGGTATCCACTTTGTACCAGGTTGTCCAAAGCAGTTTAGTAGCAAAGGGAAATTCACTTCATTTACAAGACGCACGACCAGCAGGAAAAGGAACGCTGCTATGAAGCTCACAGCAATCACAGACTTTCTCTACAAGACATTTAAAAAAAAAACAAAAAGAAGAATGAATGACTTTCAACCAAAGGCAGTCACAGAAGGAGGTTCCTTTACTCCTCTCTTTTTCTTTCACAGGGGTTGAACAATTCTGTCATTCAGCATATTTTACCTGGAAATGGAAAATAATTATTTGGTGACCAAATTGTCCTAGTGTGCTGGGCTGCTGAGAGAAAGCAGAGCTGCTTTCTTGAACTTTTCCATTGCATCTCCACCCTTCCTTATATCACTATATTCCTTATAAACTCCTATTCAGTTTGCAAAACCCAAATCAGAAATTTCCAACTACAGGAAATCTTTTCTAGTTGCTCAATCCCCTCCTCACCACCATGCTTTGACCCCCAACCTACCCACTCTGACAGAGGTAGAGTCCCATCACTGCCATACTTTAAAGACATTTCTACTGTACTTTTTCACTGTGTAATTATTTATGTGATTTTCCTACATGGATTTGTGAGTTCTTAGAGAACTGGAATGTACTGTGTCTTCTTGATCTCCGTATCCCAGGCTCTTAATATGGTACCTTACATACTACAGGCATTCAAAGAACATTTGAGTGAAACAAATGAATGAATAAATAAATGAATGAATGGATGTTCATATTCTTGTAGACACAGTATCATTATCACTCATTCTTCTGTTTCTGTATCTAGCACCCTCTATGAGTAGGAAACTCTGCCTGTGCTACAGGATGTGCAAAAGTAAGATTCAAAAAACTAACAAGAGGGGGGAAAAATTATGCCAAGAGCAGAACATTCCTCTACACATGCTGCCATGGAAAAAAAGCAGGAACAACTGCCTCTGATTGACACGGGAGAAAGCAAAGATGTCTTTGAAATTGAGCTTGATAAAATGCCTGTGTTTTAACTGATAGACGTGTGTGAACAGAGCTTTCCAGATAGAGGAAACAGCAAGGAGACGAGAATACATAGAGTTACTCATAGGCATACAGTAGTTTGTCCTACTGGAGCACAAAGAAGGAGTAAAAGCTAGAAACACAAATAACTTCATGCTGAATTGCCTCAGATATCAAGCTAATACATCTATACTGAGTTTGCTAGGTGATGGAAAGCCAAAATAAATTTTTTTTGTCTGCTTATTTGTTTTGTTAAAGGGGATAGTTGGCCACATAAATGTCTTTCTCTGAGAAGTGCCTGTTCATATCGTTCACCCACTTTTTGATGAGGCTATTTGTTTTTTTTCTTGCAAATTTGTTTAAGTTCTTTGTAGATTCTGGATATTAGCACTTCATCCAATGGAGAAATTGCAAAAACTTTCTCCCATTCTGTAGGTTGCCTGTTCACTCTGATAATAGTTTCCTTTTCTGTGCAGAAGCTCTTTAGTTTAATTAGATCCCATTTGTCTATTTTGGCTTTTGTTGCCATTGCTTTTGGTGTTTTAGTCATGAAGTCTTTGCCCATGCCTATGTCCTGAATGGTATTGCCTAGTTTTCTTCTAGGGTGTTTATGGTTTTAGGACTTACGTTTAAGTCTTCAATCCATGTTGAGTAAATTTTTGTATAAGGTGTAAGTAAGGAAGGGGTCCAGTTTCAGTTTTCTGCATATGGGTAGCCAGTTTTCCCAACACTATTTGTTAAATAGCGAATCCTTTCCCCATTGCTTGTTTTTGTCAGGTTTGTCAAAGATCAGATGTTTGTAGATGTGTGGCATTATTTCTGAGGCCTCTGTTCCGTTCCATTGGTCTATATCTCTGTTTTGGCCGAAGCCAACAAACGTATGAAAAAAAGCTCATCATTACTGGTCATTAGAGAAATACAAATCAAAACTACAATGAGATACCATCTCACACCAGTCAGAATGGCGATCATTAAAAAGTCATGAAACAACAGATGCTGGAGAGGACACGGAGAAATAGGAATGCTTTTACACTGTTGGTGGGAGTGTAAATTAGTCCAACCATTGTGGAAGACAGTGTGGTGGTTCCTCAAGAATCTAGAACCAGAAATACCATTTGAACCAGCAATACCAAATACCCAGCATTACTGGGTATACAATCAAAGGATTATAAATCATTCTACTATAAAGACACATGCACACGTATGTTTATTGCAGCACCATTCACAATAGCGAAGACTTGGAACCAACCCAAATGCCCATCAATGATAGACTGGATAAAAAAAACATGTGGCACATATACACCATGGAATACTATGCAGCCATAAAAAAGGAAGATTTCATGTCCTTTGCAGGGACATGGATGAAGCTGGAAACCATCATTCTCAGCAAACTAACACAGGAATGGAAAACCAAACACATGTTCTCACTCATAAATGGGAGTTGAACACCGAGAACACATGGACACAGGAAGGGGAACATCACATACCAGGGCCTGTTGGGGGCTGGAGGGCTAGGGGAGGTATAGCATTAGGAGAAATACCTAATGTAAGTGATGAGTTGATGGGTGCAGCAAACCACTATGGCATGTGTATACCTATGTAACAAACCTGCACGTTCTGTACATGTATCCCAGAACTGAAAATATAATTTAAAAAAAGAAAAGAAGAAGAAAGTTATAAATTATAATCAAACATCAGTGTTTAAGATGCTTTGGAGAAGGGAGAGACTATAGGTAGGTAGTGACTAGTTAGGAGGCTATCCCAATTGCCTAGGAGAGACGTAATGAAGGATGGAAACTAGGGCAGAAGCAGAAGTAACAAGGTGGATAAAGATGTGAGAAACTTGATTTAGGTGGGAGAAACAGAACTTGGGCTACTGACAGGACAGAAGTGGCTGATGGAAAATTCAGAGATGCCTGAGATTTTGGGTCCATGTGACTGCAATATTATGGGTCATATGAGGAGAAACCAGAGTTGTCAGAGCAGGAACTGATTTAAGATAGTAAAAAGATAAAGCCCTTGGCTTTGTAGTTTTCAGCGACTGTCAAGGAGTCAGGTGGAAGGTCAAGTCTAGAGTAAGAAGGAGCACAGCTGAAGCCATGAAGTGCAGGGTCAAGACACAATAAAATATTCTTTCATATAGTTGGGCTAGGCCCCCTGATTCTTCTTCAAACTTAAGGAAAGCCACATAACTGTCTGACAAAGACCAAAATGTTTATTGTTTTTGCATTTTCAGCTTACCACTACCTGGTGGAATTAGTTCTTTTTGCTCTTCCCAGACTCTCCCAGGGAAGTCAAGAAACCTGAAGGCAGTTCCTGTATCCTCCCAGGGCCAGGGTCACAGCCTCTGTATGGGCAGTGAAATCAGCCCCCAGGAGTCAGCGATACCCAAAGACAGTCTTGCTTCTTGCTCACCTCCCATAATTTAGAAAAGCCCCAGCCTTCTGTCTCACCAGCCTTATTTTCCAATCACCTGAAAGTCCCTTGAGCTCTGCCTCCTCAACACCCCTTATCTCACCACTAACTACCACAGCCTTACCTCATTTAACCTTCTAATCATGAAAAACTGTTTTAATTTGCTCCTCTGTGGAATCATTATGTCCACAACATTGCAATGTGTCAAGGTAACAGTTTAATGAAGTGATGGATCTTACAAGTTTAAAGGGACATAGACCAGAACAGATGGCTAAATAAAAGCAAAGAGGCCAGTCACCCATTAAGTAAACAGGTAAGAACCTTTTTCTTAATCGTCATTTGGTAGCTTGTTGCAAAATAGCAGCTTGCTTTGAAGGAGACCCAGATGGGATTTGTGCTTTTGTTTATTCAGAGCCCAGCACGGCTCTCTGGTTCTCTCGGTTGCTGCATTGCATTGCATTGCATGACTTGGAGTTTGGGGACAAAGATGTGGACAGCCTTTATGAATCCACTGTTGTGTGCAGCAACACATACATAATGCATACATGAGAGAAAAATAAATCAACCATTTTGAGAGAAATTTCAAAACAGGATGAAATAGCAGTTGTAAAAGTCTGCTCTCTGGCAATCCATGTCTGCCTCTCATGTTCTATCAAAGGGAACCAAGTAATGAGCACAGAAAGGGTGAAGAGAGCAACCAGAGAGCAGAAGCCAGACACCGACTCCTCTGTGTACCACTGGGAGTGGTATTCTGCAGTGGACAGAGGTTCCTTCTGCAGCTCAGGACCCCAGCTCAATTTCTGTTACATTGCCTGGGTTTGATTCTTTGCCCTTCTTCTTGTATAGCATGAAAGTGTTCTCATAGTGCTAGTATGAAACCACTCTGAAATTCCACTAGAAAAGGCATACCTTCAAGTACACTGTGTGCTCCAGATGACAAGTACAACAGAATACAATGCACACTTGCCTTCTTCTAGTAGTCACTTCCACCAGATCGTGACCTCAAGCTTCAGCAACTACAATGAAAACCATGGATGAGACAGAAGCCTACACATCGCTGAATGCAATGAGAATGTGTGTGTGTGGTAGGGATGTGGGAGGTGGGGAAGTGAACAAAGTACTAATATGCATGATATCCATGCATGTATTACATGTATATCATGCAATACGTACTAAAGAATTTACATATTCAAGCCACAATTGCTCATTGAGTCCATACTCTGTGTAGAGTGAAAAAAAACAAAATAAAACCATAAAAGACACACCATGCTTCCAAAGAGTCACAACTTAGTGCAGCTGGCCAGTAAATAGAACACTATAATACCAGGCACCAAATGATGCTAATGGGGGATGCACAGGGTGCTATGGGAGGCCAGAGGAAGGGTGGGTATAGGAGGAACAGTTCAGGGAATGTTTGTCTGGGGTGGTGATATTCCAATAGAGTCCTGAGGACTGCAGGGGCCTCACCAAGAGAAGACGTGAAGGGCATTCCAGGCAGAGGGATTAACAGTTTGAAAGGCCATTAATTTGGTCAGTAACCTACAAGTCATTTGGTCAGAAGAATACATAGACTCTAAGTTGTAGGAGATGATGCTAGACAGAGTTAAAATAATGAAACAAAAGATAATAAGCCAAATAAATGAAGTTGGATGCAATCAACTGTCCTATCTACCCTACATTGGGATAATGAAAGGATAAATGTATA